CATAAACTCAAAACAAAGATATTTCATGAAACAGAATAGTGAGGAACTGTCCTCTATACTATGAGACTCCAAAACACCAAGTAACTGACAAATGTGGGTTTAGCCCGAACATCAGCAGGTATGGGAGATATATCCAATGCTTCTGGGGCCTGGGCTGCTTTCTCCTTAAAGGGACCAGGTCAGCTTACAAATGGGGTTGGTCCTAAGGCTTCTTCATCTCCTGAGGCAGGAAAAAGCCCAGCGTGTATGGGGTTGGTGTTCCTGAGATTTGGCATTGTTCCCACTGCTCTGCAGGATTTCCTTCTGACCAAGCATTGCTGCCCTGGCAAATAACAGTGTGTGTTTTTATTAAATTGTTTCCTTTTAATAACACTGAGTAAATTTATTTTGATCACAGTTCTAGAGCATAGACTAATGCCCACGTAAGCGGTACCCCAGGCTGAGTCTTCTGCTTAGGCCTCAGGGCACCCAACATGGTTAGGAGGGTGCTAGCCTACTCAGTCTCAATGGGGGCAGGGGGCGTGGGGCGGGGGCTCCTTGTGGATGGTGAGGTATCTTTGGCAACTCCACTTCCCTGAACAACTACCTCCAAAATCTTGACCTTCATTAGAATGGATCCTGGTTGGGAAGTGACATACGGCAAAATTCTTCTCCCACACTTTGGTCAATGTAGAAAGGTTCTGGTTGCTGGTTAGGTCTGCCTCTGAATACCTGGTAAGATGGTCAGATACCACAAAGATGTTATTTGGCTTTTTTCTATCTCTTTCCAGAGATTTAAAAAAGAAGAAAAAAAAAAGGCGATACCTCCAAGCTCCAGAGGCTTACTGATACCTCTACTCTCCAGAGAAGCAATATGGGGCAGGTGTTTTCCTTTGAATGCACCAAACACATCGCACACATCTTCCATTTATCTGCTGCCATCTTGGGCTGGAGTAGAATCAGTCCCATAGCAGCTGGAGAGGCCTACCTTGGCCCAAGTACCCAGAATCAAGCTGTAGTGTTTTCATGGCTATATGCCTTTGGTGGCACCAACTGCTTTCATGTCCTTTGCATCTGATCACTTCCCATCTGCTGGTACATCCTTTTGTAGCCCCAAATCTGCCATTCTCTTAACAGTAGGGTGCTAAGCTCTGGGAAATGAGGTTAGAGTCAATGTTCTCTCCTTACAATTTTCTCTCCTTACAGACCAAGAGAGGGAGTGTCATTTTCATAAGGAGAAAGAATAGAAAAGTAACAAGAGAGGGAAGCAGCATTAAGTGCAGGGTTTGGTGTGTTGTTGCTACTGCTGCTGTTGTTGCTGTTGTCGCTGTTGTTGTTGTTGTTTTTAAGAAAAGGTTCCTCTGAATGTAGGCAGAAGGGAATAAGGATGTGAAAAAAGAGGGAGAGACTAAAGACACAATGGGCCCTGGGGAGTGTGTGAGCTTAAGGTCCCTGAGAACGTCTCAGTAAAGCTCGAGTCTGACTGACATCGATGGAGATGGGGAAGCGATTAGGCAATTCCACAGAGAAATCTGGCGATGGACCAGTAGCCACAATTGGATGGTGTGCCAGGCAATCAATGAGAGATTTCGAAAGGACTAGCCAGCAATGGCAAGGACCAAATGAAAGTTGGCCAGCAGACTGGAAAGGCTTTGAGGAGGCAGCCAACTCAGTGCTATGATTTCAAGCAAGTGTGGCATTTGGGGGGAGGAGGAATGAAGACATTTGGGTATATGGAGGGGTGGGCCAGGGATTGAGGGAAGAGTATGTGTAAATTCATGGAAGTACAGAGAATCGCCTTAGGAGAAGAACCTGGGAACAATGTTCTGGGTTCAAGGTGCTAATTTTCAGAGGTGGGAGAGGTAATTAGTCTCCCCTATTTGCTCCCTTTTATAGCAAAAGATTGCTGAGCGAATGGTTATATGGTCTGTCCGTAGGGAGGAAATACCAAGTCACATATCCTAATGCTATTTATTGAAAGATATAGGTACATATTGGGAGGTAGCTTGATACAATAGGAAAAAAAACAAAACAAAACCTTGCTTTTGTAACAGGGAGAACCTGGATTCAAATCCTAGCTCTGCTGCTGCCTATCTGCATGCCCTCTGACAAGTCACTTAACCTCTCTTGGCCTCAGTTTCCTCACCTACAGAATAAGGGGCTAGGACTAGATGACTTCTCAGATCTGTCCAGCCCTAAATGCTATGATATGCAAGGAAAAGCTGGATGCCCACTCATCAGGTATCAATGAGTCAATCAAGGAGCATTTATTAAAGACCTAGTATATAGCAAGCGCTTTTCTCAAAGAGGCTTACATTCTGTCAGGGAAGACAACATGAGTGTAACCCAGGGCTCAAGCCTATTGTAGAGTTGTTGAGAGTGAGCTTGGGAGAGAAGAAATTCTTGTTTTGGCTTCCAGCTTCAAGATGGGTCACATGTGCTTCCAAGATCTCTTCAGAGAGAAGTACCTGGAGGGAGAGAAAGACCATAGAGGCACATAGAGGAGCTGGCACCTCGATCACGTGCCTATTCCTGGCACTAATGGGGTACATTAGTGACAGGGGAATTTCCCCCTGGATGAGCTATCTCATTCCCAGTGGAAGAACTCATTCTGGGTATTGTCTGGTATATTCGAATTAGTATAACTTCTCTGACTTTTTGCTATGAGGTTGGAGAAATGTGTTTATTTGCTATTCGCTCTATGTAATAGTCTTTGTGTGACTAGCATTGGTGGAAAGGGGGTCAAGCCTTCAGACAGGGCTTAGGGCAATGCTGTCAAACTCAGATAGAAATGGGAGCCACTAATTGGTTAAAAGAAAAAGATCCCCGTGGGCCACATTTCAACTTAGTTTTAAAATGTAATGTTATCTACATTTTATTGTATTTTTGTTTTTTAAAAATATTTCCCAATTCCATTTTGATCTGGTTCAGACTGTACTGGGGAGTGTTGCGGGCTACATTCAGGCCATGAACCTTGTGTTTGACACCTCTGGTTTAGGGCACTCCTCATCAAGGGATAACGGCCACAGGAGCATACTTCGAACCTAAAAAAATTATTTTCCTAAAAAAAAAAATTATTTCCCTTAGACTAGCAATATAATGGGACTAGGTGACAGATATTATTTTTAGCCCAGCCTTCCCTCTCTGAGGGAAGTGGTCAACTTCATGGCCCCAATCTCTTGCTCCCTGCTTGACAGGTAGCAAAACTCCCTTGGAGAAGGGAGACTCCAGAAATATCTATTAATGGCTCCCTTTGAGCCACATTTAGACCAACCCATGTGTACACATATAACCTACGTGGTAACACACACATACCCTACGTATGCATGAAAATGGCTGGCTAGGAGAGCCTACGAGTAGGTTTGTGGAACTAGAGGCCATGGTCATCCATCCCCTCTCCCTACTGAAGGCATTCTGCTTCCTCTACAACACACTGAAATGCAGCAGAATATATACACAAGCATGAATTATTTTCTAAAAGGACAGTCCCAGTAGGGCCTACCAAATATTTGTATTGTAACCCCACCAATCAAGTCTAGCTGTCAAATGACTAGGTAATAAAGCTGCCCAGGAAGCTAGGCAAGACAAAAAGTGGCCTAAACCACTGATGCATCTGGCATCTGATGTCATTCAATCAAAACTGCTCTCTTCAGGGTTACTAATCATCTCAATTGCTAAAGTTAATGACCTTTTCTCAGTTCTCCCTCTTGACTTCTCTGCAGCCTTTGACACTATCGATCACTCTCTTCTCTTGGATACTCTCAAGCTTCTCTCTGACACTGCTCTCTCTCTCTCTCTCTCTCTCTCTCTCTCTCTCTCTCTCTCTCTCTCTCCTGGTTCTCCTTCTACCTGTCTGACCACTCCTCTGTCTCCTTTGCTGGATCTTCAGCTAGGTCGTGTCCAGTAACTCTAAGTATCTCCCAAAGGTCTGACCTGGCCCTCTTCCTCTAGATTACCTTGCTTGGTGATCTCAGCTCCCATCATCTCTATGAAAATGACTTCCTTCCTTTATAAGCTATACCATCTTTCCTGACCTCCAATCTCACATCTCCAAATGCCTTTCAAACATCTCAAACAGAATGTCCTGTAGTCATCTTAAACCCAACATGTCTGGAACAGAATTCTATCTTTCCCCCCAAACCCTCCGCTCTTCTGAACCTTTCTATTACTGCCAAGACTACCACCAATCTCCCAGTCACCCAGGCTGACAACCTTGCTAACATCCTCTGTTCCTCACTTGCACTCATCCCACATAGCCAATCACTTGGCAATGCCTGGCATGTCTACCTTTGTACTAGCTCTCATCTAGGTGCTCTAACACTGCCACCACTCTGATTCATGCCCTCGTCACCTTCTGCCCAAACTGCTGCTGCTGGCCTTCCCTGCCTCAAGCCTTTTTCTCCTGCAGCCCATCTTCCTCGGCTGCCAAAGTGTTGGTCTGAGTAGGCTGCTCTCCTCAATAAACTCCAGTTTCCCTCTTTGCTCTAGGACCAAATATACAATCCTCTGTTTGGCTTTGGAATCTCTTCATAACCCGGCCCTCTCCTACGTCATACTCCACTCACATGTGATACTCTCTGTCTCTGTCGCTCTTCACTGACTATCCCCCATTCCTGCCATGCTCCCTCTCCTCACCTCCACCTCCTGGCTTCCCTGGCTTCCACTCAGCTCAGATCTTCTCCTCTTCCCTCCCCTGTCCGCCCTTCCATTCGCCTCCCAGATTACCTTTCATTTACCCTATCTCCATCTTATTTGTATATATGTGTCTGCATGTTGTCTCCCCAATTAGAATGTGAGCTCCTCCAAGTTGGGAGCCATTTTTGCCCTTCTTTGGATCCCCACTGATTAGCACAGGCTGGGTACACAGTAAACCACTTAATAAGCGCTCATTGATTTAGCTAAACTTTTGGGATTAACTTGCTACACTCTCTATTTTAAATATGAAAACAAGATTGTGGAGTTGCTTTTTTCTCCACTTTCAGCTAAAGATGTCTTATGTTTCCTTTTTCATCCCTTGACAGGCTGGTTTTGATGGGGAGAGCATTGGAAATTGTCCCTTTTGCCAGCGCCTCTTCATGGTCCTCTGGTTGAAAGGAGTCAAGTTCAATGTGACAACTGTTGACATGACCAGGTGAGAGAAAGCAGGACCTGTTTGATAATGGGGCCCAAGATTGACCGAGACAGAAGTGAAGGACTGCCTCGACCCTGTGCTTGGCCCAGTTATGACAAGACTGGGAGAATGGCATATCATGCCACCATAGGACTTCTCAGGTTCAACTGGTGATAATCTAGCATGTTATGTGACCTTCGCTTTTGGTGGAACCTAGAGCGTCACTTCACATTAGGTCATTTCAAAAAGATCTTTTACTACAAGATAGATGTTGAAAGGGAGCATTGAGTGTGGGATAGAGCACTTGGAGCCAGTTTTTCAGTTGGGTCTGATGCTTCATGACCCCGTGGACCTATATCCATAGGGTTTTCTTGGCAAAGAAACTGGAGTGGTTTGCCATTTCCTTCTCCAGTGGCAAACAGAGGTTAAGTGACTTGTCCAAGGTCACATAGCTGGGAAGTTTCTGAGGCTGGATTTGAACTCAGGTCTTCTTGACTCCAAGCCCAGCACTCTAGCAACTTCACTACCCAGCTGCCTAAAGCCAGGAGTACCTGGATTCAAATCCTACCTCTGACACAAGGACCCTGGCCTAATCACTTAAGCCCTCAGTGTCCCAGGGAACTCTCTATAACAAGCTACTTCTGTTATGTACTTATGCCATGCCCAGCACTATGTTAAAGGAGTATGCACTTAGGAAAATCCCTACACCAATAAAATCACAGGTCGGCCCTCACCCCCTACATTAGACACTAGTGCACAATATGAGGCACATGAAGAAACATGTTCAGTTATTGAAGTTTCCATCCCACCCCAAGCTGATGTCACTGGTCTTTCCCAGTTGCAGGTAAGCCTAGAAACCTGGGAAACAAGATCTGTGAAGACTCCATCAGCCTCCATAGGCAGTGTAGCATTGGAAACAAAGAACTGGACTGGTAGTCAGGAAGACCTGGGTTCAAATCCAGCCTCAGAAACTTCCTAGCTGTGTGACCCTGAGCATGTCACCTAAAGTCTGTCTCAGCTTCCTTATCTGAGGACAACTCAACAGGTCTAAAACGGAACTTGTTATCTTTCCCTCTCTCTGCCTAATTACTGCCTAATCTCTGCCAATCTTTCCAGTGCCTCAGGTTCTTATAGTTGGCATTCTCCTCAGCTTCTGAGTTGCCCTCACCACCCCATATCTGATCAGTTGCCAAGCCTTGACATGTCTACCATCACAACATATCTCTTGCATCCAGAGCCTTCTCTCCACTCACGCAGCTACGACCTTAGTTTAAATCCTCATTACCTCTCACCTCAATCATCACAACAGCTTCCTAATAGTTCTCCTCACCTCAAGTCTCTCACCATCCCAGTCTATCCTACATTCTGCTGCCAAAGTCATTTTCCTTAAATGTAGATCTGACCATGTGACTCTTCTGCTTACCCAACTCCAGTGGTTCCCTATTGCCTCTAGGATCAAATAGAATCACCTCTATTTAGCATTTACAACCCTTTGCAGCCTGACCCCAGCCCATTTTCCCAGCCTTCCTTTCCCATGATCTGCCATTAAGACACTGTTTCTCACTCATGCATGACACCCCACCTCCAAGCTCTCTACCTTGGTCCTGGCTATTTCCCATGTCTCCTTACCACTGCCCCAGAGAGTCCCTTTATTCCTTTAAGATGGGTCTTGGGCACCATCTTCTGCAAGAAGCCTTTCTTGATTCCCCCAGCTGTTAGTGCCCTTCCTCCCAAACCACCTTGTACTTAATGTGTGTGTGTGTGTGTGTGTGTGTGTGTGTGTCTGCATGTAACATATTGGTTTACTTTCTATTTATGCTATATCCATTTGTATATGTCCTTGTCTCTTCTTTGGCCTGTAAGTACCTTATGAGTAGGAATTGTGTGTCTATCCCTAGTGCTTACTTAGTCCAGTGCCTTCTCATAGTAGGTGTTGACCGATTGCTTAATTGATCTAGAAAGGGAGATAAGTACACACTTATTAGTGTGCCATTTACAGGGCTGTTATGAGGATGAAATGAAATCATGCATGTAAAGCACTTTGCTATCTGAATTGCAATTCTTGTCATTATTCATTATTCTCATTAGAATCTGGAGGCCAGTTAGTTTCTGTCCTCTAAATCCTCCCCCAGAATTACAGAATTGGGAGGGATCCAGTGGCCATCTCTGACCATAAGCCCCCTCTATAGCAAGTGGCTAGCAGCCCCCCCGCTCTAAGGTCTCTGTACAGGGAGGCCCTCCTTGTCTCAAGGCCACTAGCATCCACATTTACTCTCCAAGGACAGTTGGAATACCTTTTAAGTACAAATTCACCTTGTGTGCCCAGGGCAGGAGCTTAGGGCTTTTCACCTCCTATACCAGAGTACAGGCCTCATAGTCCTCTGGCCTATCATTTTATCCATTTCTATGCATTGCTTCATCAAGGCTCCCCAAGACCCCTTTTGAGGGGGATGGTGTGCCAGGATCATCACATACTATTTTGGCAGGTTCTCTCTTCAAATCTACTTTGGCCCAAGCCAAGAGGAAAATAGTCATTTGAAAAGGTAACCCAGTAATTGGGGGGAAAATAAAATATTAAATAAAGAAAAAATAGAAAGGTGGCACAGATTACACATGCATTATCTCATTTGGTAATCACAGCCACCCTGTGGAATAGGCACTCTCATTACCCTCATTTTATAGATGAGACAGTTGAGGTTCAAAGAAAGACTAACCCTTTGCCCAGGGTGACACAACCCATCCAAGTGTCTGGCTCAGGATTTGGAGTAGGCTCTTCCTGATAGCCATGGTATTGGGTTATTTGGCTAGATATTAAGTTATACCTCCCTGACTCCATCCACATCCCTCATGGTTTGACTTCTCCCATGCACTTTCTCATTTGTATTCTGGTTATTCATGTGCATGTCACATTCCCCTAATAGATTATACATTCCTTGAGGAATTTTAAAATAATTGTTTTTCATCTTACTATCTCCCAAGAAATATTTTTTGAATTCAATTAAATCCCAGAGAAAAGAAGATGGATCATCTCCCAAATTCCATTTACTGACTAAGGTCCACTATGAATTTGTGTTATCTAATCATAACTGGGCATTCATTGCAGCAAGGCAATCCTCTCAAATCACTTAATTTGATCACTGATGATGACCCTGGCACAGATGACAGGATGACTGCCCTTCAGCCTTCACAGGAAGTCTTGGGGAACCTGTGCTTGCCAGGACACCCACAGCAGCTATTCCAAACCTTCTTGCTATTCCTCAAGCCTCCCATTGCACCATTCTCTCACTTGAAGACCTAGAATCATACTCCACCAAAAAAAAACCAAAACTGAGGCCAGTCAATGGGTTCCCCATTTTCTCCTCTTTATCATCTCCTATAACTCATATGTCTTCTTCCATTATTTCCTCCTCCATTCTGGTGTCTAGTCTCTGGCCCTTCTTCTTGCCCAGGCCAGTCCTTCTAAGTACAGCTATGATCCCATCCCCTCCTGTTTTTTCCTGTAGACTGCCCTTCTTATCATTCCCAATGTTTTATCTTCAACTTCTCCCTACCTATCGGTTGCTTCCATGCTGCCTACAAGCACTCACATGTCTCCCTTATCCTTAAAAAAAATTCTCATTTGATTCAACCATTTCTGCTAGCTATTGTCCTATGTTTCTTTGACAAAGCTTTCCACATTTGATGCCTCCACTTCTCTCACTCTTTTCTAAACCCTCTGTAGTCTGGCCTCATCATTCACTTAAGATAGTGAATGATGAGGCCACTATCATCTTTCCAAAGTTATCAAACCAATGGCCTTTTCTCCATCCTCATTCTCTTTGACCTCTCTGCAGCCTTGGGCACTGTGGGTCACCTTCTCCTTATACATACTCCCTCCTCTCTAGGTTTTCAGGACACTAACTCTCTTCTGGTTTTCTGTCTACTTTGCTGACCACTCCTTGTCAGTTCCCTTTACTGAATTTTCATGCAGATCATGCCCACTAACTCTGAGCCTCTGTTCTAGGCCCTCTTCTCTTCTCCCTCTATACTCTTATCACTTGGTGATCTCATCAGCTCCCCATGGATTCAATTATCATTTCTATGCTGATGATTTCTAGGTCTTTTTAATCCAACCATAACCTATTTCTTGATCCCTGGGTTTGCATCTTCATTTGCCTGAATGTCCCAAAGGCATCTCATACTCCTTATGTCCAAAAAAGAACTCATTATCTTTCCCCCCAAAGCCTCCTCTCTTCTCAACTAGCAGATTGCTATCAAAGGCACCACCCATCCTCTCAATCATCCAGGCTCAATGTCATCCTTGACTCCCCACTTGTGCTCACCCTAGGTGAGTGAAGTATCCGATCTGTGATGTTCTTACAGCTCAGGTCTGACTATGTTACCCTGCTATTGAAATCTTCCCTTTAGCTTTTAAAGCCCTTTACACCTTGGCCTTTTCCTATTTTGCCAGTCTTCTTAGACCATACTCCTTTGCAGGCACTCTATGATCCAGCAACGCCGTCCTTATTCTTCAAACAAACACCCTGTCTCCTAACTCTGGGCATTTTCTCTCTCTGTCCCCCAAACTAGAACACTCTCCCTCTTCATCTCTGCCTCTCAGCTCCCCTGGCTTCCTTCAAGTCCCACCTTTTACAGGAAGCCTTTCTCAATTGCTCTTCATTCTAGTGCCTTCCATCTTGATTATTTCCAATTAATCCGTTATCTAGCTTGTTTGTACAGGTTTGCATGTTGTCTCCCCCATTAGACTGTGAGCTCCTTGGGGGCATGGACTGGTTCTGACTTGCTTTGTAGCTCCAGCAGTGGTACATAGAAAGTACTTAATAGGTACTTGACCAACTGGCTGGTTATCTGCCTGCTGACAGATGTACACAAAGAGTAAAATTGACCAAAAGGAGAGGTAAAGGGACAGAATAATTTATGAACAACTATCAAAAAGTATAAAGTGATCATCAGTTTTCTTTATTTGGTGGAAGTCCTTGACCTTCTATTAGCCCTGAGTAGGTAGACCTTCTCATTTGTTGCTCTCACAGTTTATTCTGTAATCTCCTTAGGTAATGTGTAGGTGGCTTCTCTAGTGTCTAAATCAGTGGTATCAAACTCAAATAGAAATGGATCCCTGCAGGTCTCATATTGACTTAGAAAATCACGAATTAACATGATCTATTGGTGGTGTGGTAGATAGAGTGCTGGGCCTGGAGTCAGGAAGACCTAAGTTCAAATCTGGCCTCAGACACTTAGTAGCTGTTGTGATCCTGGGCAAGTCACTTAACCCTCTTTGCCTCAGTTTCCTCTGTGAATTGTAAATGTGTAAAATGAGCTGGAGAAGAAAATGGCAAACCACTCTGGTATCTTTGCCAAGAAAATCCCAAATGAGGTCACAGAGAGTCCAACACGATTAAACAACAACAGTGTTTCATTGCATTTTTATTTATTTTGTTTAACATTTCCCAATTACATTTTCATCTGGTTCCCACTGCAGGAAGAATTTTGCCACTGCATGCACCCAGGTGAGTCTGACCCTTTTGGCAAATAACCCTCTCTTTCCAATCCCTCTAGGAAACCTATAGAACTGAAAGAACTAGCCCCGGGAACCAGTCCTCCTTTCTTGTTGTTTAACAAGGAACTGAAGACAGACTTCATTAAAATCGAGGAGTTTCTAGAGCAGGTCCTGGCTCCTCCAAGGTACAGAATTTTTCCCGTCCTTCCCTGCCATAAGTGGATCAATTGAATTTACTCTTCCGTTTGTTCACCCCTCAAAACCTCTGACTCACTCACTTCTAGGGCTATGGAGTTTAAGGGCCAGACGTCTCTTTTATTCTCTTGATATTCTTGTAAATAACCACTTGCTCATTTTCCCGAAGAGTGGGAAATGATACTAATTGTGCCGATTTGTCTTATCTGGAGAAGATTTTATACTTGATCTTGGAAGTAAAAGCGGGGTCACATAGGGTATTTATAATGAGCCCAGTGGTCACAGTGAGATGGGGCAGACCTACTTTCATCTGAGTGTCTTATGTTTTTATAACATGAGGAAGGGATACTCTTCCTGTGATAGACCCTTGTCTACGGCCAGACCCTTCTGTCAAACTTGGCTTTGCCCTAAACACACCACATGGGCAGGCATCCTTTCTGCATGGGACCCTCCAGTTGCTCACTCATCTTTCCACACCCACATTCATAGCTTTAGGCTGTCTCCTTTGAAGGATTATCTTCCTGTTACCATTACTTTTGAAATGAACTGCCTCAGTTTCCCTCCCTTGCAGGTGAACACCCAAACTGGCTTTGAGTTCTAGTTCCCCTCGCCTCTGAGATATTCTCCTTTCATCCTGGTTGACCTTAGCACCTGGTTATGGCCTGCCTCTCTTCCCCAACCTTCTAACACCCTCACCTCCCATTTCCTCTAGTTCAGTGGTTCATAACTTTTCCTGTGTTATGGACCCGTTTGGCAGGCAGTCTGGGAAGCCTATGGATGCCTTCTCTATTTTTAAATAAATAAATAAATAAAAACAAAATAAAAAAAATAAAAAAAAACTAATGAATAAAATAAATAAAATAATTGGGATTTTAAGGGAAACCAATTATAGCAAAATGCAGTTATCAAAATATGTATAAAAAAGCAATTTCACAGACCCCATGTTAAGAAGCCCTGCCGTAGATGGATTCTACCTTAACTACCTACAGGGTAGATCACACTCAAGATCTGAGTCACCACCTGAAACTGCTTCACCTTGAAGATCCTGAATGCTTAGATGCCCATCTCTGATCCTGTCCCACCTCCTCACTCCTGGGAGGGAGCCTGCCCCTGGCCTTTGTGGCACCCCAAGTCCCCCCATCTTGAATTTCTTTTCCTAGTCCATCACCCTTCTTTGGCTTCACTGCCTTCCCAGCCCAGTTTGGCCCTTGTAAATCTGCCATTTCCACAAGGTGTTGTCCTCCCCCATGTCCTTTCACTGTGGGTTCCCATGCTGGAAAACTACAACTCTGGGTCTGAATACTTTATGAATACTGAATACTTTCTGTGTGCCTTTGGAGTTTTTGAGCATACTGGAGAAAATCAGGAAATTGTTCACTACGTATATGTGCCGTCTAATCTCAGCTGAGACCTCATGAGTGCTGACTGATCCTTTTATTCATCTTGGATTCATTCCCTATCACACTGTCTCCCAACTGAGTACTCCAAACTTTTTCCTCTCTCAGCCCCTATTCTACCTATCTCTTTTAGATTATGTCCCCCTTTGCTCTGCTGAGATAATGACCATCTTTCCCCTTCCTGTATACCTTGAGACCTCTCTATCTTGATCTATCCTCTCTTCCTTCTTTCTCATTTCAGAGAATGAGGTGGGCTGGCTTGGGGACTTAACTCCCGTGTATGACATCAATTCTATAAGGGAAATGCCTTCTTCAGATCTGGAGAACCAGACTGAATTGGAAGCAAAGGGGTTGTAGCAGGCCTAACTGCAGATATAGATTTACAAAGTCCATTTGCATAGTGGCCCAAGAAATAGAAGGACACATTCCTTGGTGATTCCTTCATCTGTCCCAGTAGGACATGGACTCTAGGAGTTGTGATTAACAACCGATAGATATATTGGTTGTTTTGCTTCAGTGTTCCTCCAAAACCCAGGGGGATAAAGTTGATAATTTGACTAAAGCCTATTTGGGGGCATATCTTTTTTTCTCCTAAGGTATCCACGTTTGAGTCCCAAGTATATGGAGTCCTTTGATGTGGGGTCCGACATCTTTGCCAAGTTTTCTGCATACATTAAGAATACACAAAAGGATACCAATAAACGTAAGACACATTTTCTATCTGCCATCTTAGATTCTAGGGGATTTGTTATTGTTTAGTCATTTTTTCAATCATGTCCAACTCTTCATGACCCAATTTGGGTTTTATTTTGTTTTGTTTTGTTTTGTTTTGGGCAAAGATACCAGAGTGGTTTGCTGTATCCTTCTCCAGCTCATTTTACAGATGAGAAACTGAGGCAAATAGGGTTAAGTGACTTGCCCAGGATCACACAGCTATCAGGTGTCTAAAGCTAGATTTGAACTCAGGTCTTCCTGACTCTGGTTCCAGCACTCTTATCTACTGTGCCACCTAGCTGCCTCTTAGATTCTAGGGTACTAATCACTATAGCATATATGTAGAATGGAATCCTTCTTCTGTGATAATTATTTCCCTATGTCTCAGTTCAAATAACAAAAATAGAATAATATATTTCAAGTTGGAAGGAACATTAGAGGTTACCCAATCCAGCTTCATTTTACAAGAGATGGAACCAAGTCCCAGAGAAGGTAACACTTATGTGTTTCTTTGGACATGGTTTACAATGGAGCTTAGCCTTTTATCTCCCCTCTCTCTGACATTACTCATTGATACTCATAGTTTTATAACTGAATTTCTGTCAAGAGATCATTTTTTTTCAAGCTAAGGACATTGGTGAACCCAACTTCTGAACCTGAAGGAAAACTGTTCTTGCCCTCATCCTCCTGCTCATCCCACTTGAGTCAGTAACACCAGACCTGCAGTACTAATAGCAGCAGAGGTCACCCAAGCCCTTACTGGGCAGGAGACACCAATTGTCAATAAGACATTCCCGTGGAGTCAGTAGGGAGATATGCTCCTAACATGGACAACTGTATTACACAATCATACATGGCATTAGAGAGGCCCGAACAAAATGCTATGTGAGTTCTAGGGGTCCGGCAGATTTGAGAAGGCTTCCTCAAAGAATGGACATTTCAGATGAGTTTTATGGGAGCAGTAGAGATTCAATAGGCAAAGGATGGAGGTGAGGGAAGAGAGGACACTCTAGGCATAGAAAATTCTATAAGCAAAGGCATAGAATTAGGAAAGCAGATAGTGAGTTCAAGACAAGAATACTCCAATTTTACTTGAGCTCAGGGTCCATGGATAAGAGTACTTACTATACAATAAGAATGGTAAGGTAGAGAGAGATGGCAGATTAGAAAACATCTGGAACACCAGGCAGAGGAGTTGGAACTTTACTGGGTAGGTGATAGGGAGACACTGAAGATGTTTAGCAGAGGAGGGACATAAGCAGACCTGCCCAGAAGGAAGATTAGTTGGCAGGTATATGAAAAATGGATTGGAGAGAGTAGAGAAGGGAGACATGAAGATTTTAAGGTGGTTACTGTGATAGTCATAGTCCAGACAAGGTGGTGATGAAGGCCTGTACTGTACTGAGATTAGAATGGAGGGGAGGAAGAGGGGGAAGAAAAGGAAGAGGAGGAAGAAGAAGAAGAAGAAGAGGAGCAACAGAAGGAGGGAGAGGAGGAATGAGGAGGAGGAGGAGGAAGAGCAGGAGCAATGGGAGGAGGGGGAGGGGGAAGAGTAGGAGAAGGGCAAGAAGGAGGAATAAGAGGAAGAGCAGTTGGGGAGAAGGAAGAAGAGAAAGAGGAGGAGGAAGAGGAAGAGAAGGAGGAGCAGTGGGAGGAGGAAGAAGAAGAGGAGGAGCAGTGGGAGGAGGGGGAGAGGGAGAAAGAAGAGAAGGAGAGATACTGTAAAAGTGGAATCAACAGGACTTGGTAATTAATTATATTTGAGAGATGAGAGGAAGGGAAAAGCCATGGATAACCCTAAGATTTAGAGAATGGGAGACTAGGTGAATGGTGGCACTACAAATAATGAAATCAAAAGCTGCGGGTCTAAGGACAATAACAAGCTCTCTCTGAACCACAACTTTAAGATACTTGCTGGCAAGAAAGTTAAGTGGAGAGGTCCTATGGGCAATTAAAAATGTGACTCTGCGGCTCAGAAGCAAGGTCAGGACTGCAGATATTGACCTGGAAATCATTGGCATAGGAGTGCTAGTTGAAGCCATAGACATAGTCGAGATTTCCAAAGGACAGAAAAGAAGGAGAGGAAGAGAGGTCCAAGGACAGTGTCCTAAAGAAAGTGAGAAAGAACTTATCACGGTTACAGGTTACTAAGGATCAACTTTAGAAAGGACAAGGAATCACTACCTAGCATTCTGGGGCAAGAGGGAAGGAAAGAGACAGACAGAGACAAAGACAGAGACAGACAGAGACAGAGAGTCTGACAGAGACAAAGAGAGATGGGGGGGTGGGCAGGAAGGAGAGAAGAGGGGGTAATGCTGCTGAGCAATTTTGAGCAGTGTTAGTTAGGTCAACCATCTAGAATGGGAAGTGAAACACATTCATCTTCTTGTCCACTAACCAGCTCCTACATTTATTGACTCACCCTCGATAAGCAGTGCCCTCATTTTCTTTCTCTCATCACCTCCCTTCCATGTGCCAACCCATCCCCAAAGAATGGAAAGAAAATCTTCATAGGGCAAAGATCCCTTGTAACCCTGTCCTCATGATTAAAAACACATTTGGTTTGTGGTGACCTGTGTACTCTCCTTTAATCCTTCCTGTCCTCCCCAAATTTTCATCTTACCCATACAACAAGGAAAAGAGAAAGTATGAACCAATCAATTGATTAATCCAATCCAGTCCAGTCCATATGGCAGCCTATGGTATTCCACTCTCTAACAATAATAATAGCTAACATTTATATAGCACTTACACTGTGCTAAGTGCTATATAATTACAGTCTCATTTGATCCTCACAACAACCCTGCGGGATAGGTGCTGTTAATATCCTCACTTTAAAGTTGAGGAAACTGAGGCAGGCAGAGATGAAGTGACTTGCCCAGGGACACACAGCCTAGTAAGAGTCTGAGGCTGGACTGGATGTCAGATTTCCTAACTGCCTCCAAGCCTGGAGTTCTATCCATCCTACCCCTACCTACCCTTCTAGCTAAACCAGCATCAAGTACAAGGCCTAGCCCATAGCAGGCAGGTACTAAATAAATATCTGTTGGTTAAATGAATAAAGGAAATCAGTTGGTTGGTTGTCCTCAGATCTTGAAGAGGGCCAAAATGACATCACGATGTTGGGGTCAAGTTTCAGTGTGTCCGACAGTGGTTGATCAGACCAATTTGAGCTTGGAAGGCTCTACCACAGGTCAGGCATAAATAGTCCACATGAACATTTTGGAGTGGAGATGGCTCCAAATTTGCACACCATACATTTCCTTTTGCTACTTGCAATTCTGCTTTGCTCAGAGCACAGCACCTTCTTTGATGTGGGCATGCCATGCTTGGGCAGTCCTCTGCCAGTGTCTCCTATGTCTCATAATTGATTCCAAAGTAGAATGACTGAGTGGACTTTGAAGCCATCAACAAGGTCTAGCATGTGGGATATCTTAGGTAAAAACATGGGAAAATAAGCATGCTGAGAGGCATTTGACAATGACAGTCAAGCATCTAAAAATAAACCTGTGACTTCATTGAATGATTCAGATCTGGAGAAAGCTTTGCTGAGGGAATTTAAGCGTCTAGACATCTATCTGACAACCCCCCTTCCAGAGGAAATTGATCAGGACAGTACAGAAGAAGTAGTGGTCTCCAAAAGGATGTTCCTGGATGGAGATCAGCTGACCCTGGCAGACTGCAACCTGCTCCCTAAACTGCACATCATCAAGGTGAGAAACAATAATAACAGCACCAAGGTATAGCGCGCCATGGCTTAGGAGGCCATATCTACTGAAAAATGCCCATTATGGTCACTTTTTACTACCATTGCCATGTATATGGCTTCAAATATCAACAGCTTTTTTCCTTCTCTTTTACTTGGTCCTCTAGGTGGTTGCCAAGAAATACCGGGACTTTGACATCCCTGCTGAATTCTCAGGAGTCTGGCGCTATCTGGAAAATGCCTATGCCCGAGAGGAGTTCAGCCACACATGCCCTGCAGATAAGGAGATTGAAAGCACTTATGCATCTGTGGCTAAAAAAATGAGTTAAAAAATAAGGGTGCATGTTCCAAAGTGACCAATGCCCATGCAAGCTACCTTTTGCATCACATCCCTACTTCTGCTAGAAATGCTAGCAAAACACGTAGTTTGAAAGAGAACTCTGAGCTTTCTATCTACCCAGCAATACCTATAGTGCATTTGCATATTCTATCTGGCCTTCAGGCTTTCACAAGCTTCAAGCTTCCAGCATCCTGATGGCAAACCCATTTGATTCTTGAATCCCTAAAATGCCTTATGTAAATCTCAGCAGAACTGGAGTCTAAATTGTCTGTTGAACTTGGTACCCCAGCCTTTAACAGCTTCAGCCCAAGCTACTGGATGAAATCATTTAAGTGGGACTTTGTCAAGAGTTCAATTTTCTACAAGCAAGGCATTGACAGGCCCAGATTCTGAACCTGAAAAAAAAACTGTATTCCCGCCCCCCCCCATCTAACAGTTCATCCCACTTGAGTCAAGGAAGGCAATAAGCATTTATGTGGCACCTACTATGTGCCAGGAACTGTATTAGGCAATTCACAATTATTATCTCATTTGATACCCACAACAACCCTGGGGGGTGGGTGAAGTTATGATCCCTATTTTACAGTTGAGGATACTGAGGCAGAGGTGAAATGACTTGCCCAGAGGCACCCAGCTTTGAAGTTTCTGAGGCTGGGTTTGAATTCAGGTCTTCCCGATTCCAGGCCCAGGGCTCCAAGCTGTCTGAATGGTCAGTAACACTAGTCAGCTACCTCAGAAGTCAGTAACACTATTGGTGTTTTCCCTAAGGACATTGCCCCAAATTATTACCACCTGAAAGCAGCATGACATCAGTTTCTCAGAGCATTGCCCCAGCCTTGTCTAGGAATAACAAATCGGGAATGAATAGACAGGCAAGAGGGTTTGGTGGTAGAGTTATGTAGGTTACAAATTCCAGGGCATAAGAAAGGGTGTAAGGTAACTACTACTATTTTATGAATCCTTTATAGTGAAAGACATGATCTCTGGCTTTAGATTGAACAAAAGTGTTAATTATGGAGTTAATCAGTGCTTTTGTTGTTACTGCCTCTTTTTCACATACATATACAGAGAGGGAGAGGGAGAGAGAGAGAGATTATTCTTTATTTTACTAATTAAATGAGGAAATGAGCATTTTTGAGAAACAAAAACAAATTTTCCAAAGATGGCCAGTAAAATAATGAAAGCCAACCCACTCTGAAGCATTCCTCCATGCCTGGGAACATTAATACTCCTCATGATTCCAGATGATTAGACTATGATGCCTGTCACTACATTAAACTGCTACTAAATCATTAAGGATTTATTAACCATCTTTCAATGATAGATAAACCAAAGCAAAGTTATAAAAACCTGAGATGCAGACATATTCTGTTATAAAATGTACTCATTGATTGAAGTCACTAACTTGAAAATTTCTATTCCCAATACAATATAGTTACTAATTATTTTTCTTTCTTTTAGAAGAATAGGTTATGATACCTCCCCTCCCCTGCAACTTACCTTTGCCTACAGAAGTACCTATACTCAAGAAGGATGGAATGGGGCTGGAGGGGGCGGGAATCTCTAGACCCCATGTGACTTTGAATTTTCCTTAAAGAAGGACAAAAGTCCTACATTTAAAAGATATACCATGGGGCAGCTAGGTGGCGCAGTGGATAGAGCACTGGCCCTGAAGTCAGGAGGACCTGAGTTCAAATCCCACCTCAGACCAAACACTTGATACTTACTAGCTGTGTGTGACCCTGAGCAAATCACTTAACCCCAATTGCCAAAAAAAAAAAGAAAAGGAAAAAAAAAGGATACACCAGGAGATATAGGGCTAAATTGCTCTAAATTGCTCTGTGTGCATGTATCAAGTGTGGTATTTCTCTATTCATATATTTGAGGAAAACTAGTCAAGTCAAAGCAACAAGCATATATTAAGTGCCTACTATGCACCAGACACTGTGCTAAGTGCTGGGAATACAGCAAAAATACAGTTTTTGCTTTCGAGATCAGTAGCAGAGGAAAGACACTGGAATTAAGGGAGAGCAGGAAAGACATCTTGCAGAAGGTGGGGCTTCAGCTGAGACTCAAAGGAAACCAGGGAAGTCCAGCAATGGAGATAAGGAGTGAAAATATTCCAGGCATGAGGGGCAGCCAATGAAGACATTCAGAGTTGGGAGATAGTTCAGAGAGGGTCTTATTTGAAGAATAGCAAGGCGGCTTTAATGTCACATTGGATCAAAGAGCAGATTGGGGCCAGGGCGGGAGTGGGGAGGGGACACCAAGGAATAAGGTGTGAGAAGACTGGAAAGGGAGGAGGGGCCTGGGTTATGAAGGGCTTTGATGCCAAACAGAGGGTTTTGTATTTCATCCTGGAGGTGACAGGGAGCCATTGGAGTTGACTGAATAGTGAGGTGACATGGTCCGACTTGCGATTTAGGAAGATCCCTTTGGTGGCTGAATGGAAGATGGACTGAAATGGGGAGAGACTTGAGGCAGGTAGACCCCCCCCCCCCCAGCAGCTATTGCAATAGTCTAGGTGTGAGGCCAACATCAGGAAGGGGGCCGTGTCAGAGGAGACAAGGGAGTGTATTCAAGTGATCCTGCAAAGTTAAAAAAAACAGGACTTAAATGATCATCCAAATGAACTGTCAATATTGTACATACATGTCAACAGATGATACAAACCTTAAAGTGCTATATAAATATTAGCTATTTTTCAAGAATTAAATATCACTGAGAGGTAGCATTGGCCTGGTGGACAGAGAACTGGCCTTGGAGCCAAAAGACCTGGGTTTGAGTTCAGCCTGTGACACATACTTGTTGTATGACTCTAGGAAAGTTACTTCAATTTGTAACATTGGCAACTCAATAAATTGCAGAGAAGGTACCAAATTGGTGTGCTTTCCTCTCAGAGTTTCTTAAGCCAGTGAAATCACCTCTGGTCCATGCTTTAAGTCAAACACCAGCATGTGGTACTCACAGACAAATCCATGAGTCCTGAGACAAATCCTGAGTCCTGAGATTTTTTTTTGTACTAAAACATGTATTCTCCTTCTTATATTGTTATTGGTCACTTTTCCTGTTTTATAATATCATGAATAAAAAACAATTTTGTATTTTCTACTCTGAGAAGCTTGTTTCTAGCACCTATTGAGATAGGCAGCTGTGTGGTTAAACTAGGGTTACCTAGCCCATACCTGTGCCGAGGTCCCTGAGGACCCCTGTAGGGGCTTGCCCAGCCTTCCTGATCCTATTTTGGATGACCAGAGAAAATGGCAGGGACTCCCTCAATCAGAAAGCTTCCTTCAATTGCCTCTGGTCATTCCAGACCTTGGGACTAATATTTACCACCATTCTCCTCCCCACTCCTATGCACACTACACTACTTCAAAAGAGCTGTCATTTGGTTAGTAAAGAGCATCCATCCATGTGGATCCCAATCTTTCCATCCAACCTTATCCAATAGATAGTCTTCATAAGTTCTCATGCCTTTGCCCCATTCTCAAATGATCACTTATCTCAATTTCTGCCAATAAATCTCTCTGAACTTAGGCTGGGACTTGGATGAATTTTGCTGGGCCTTTACAGCTTGGTAGGACCTACTAGAGTTTGAAGAAAACTTTAGGTCTAGGCCAGAGGTTCTTAACCTGGGGTTCAGAACCTTGTTTTTTTTTTTTTTTAATTCATAAGTTTGTTTCGATGTAATTTGTTTCCTTCCTAGGTCTTTTATTCTAGGTATTTAAAAGCATTATTCTGAGAAGGGATCTACGGGCTTCACCAGATTACAAAAGGGGTCTGGGAAACAAAAATGGTTAAGTATCCCAGATTAGAATCAACCAGATCACCTTGGAATTAGGTTTAACACTGACTCAAACTTTGGCATAGTCATTTTAAGAGTGCAGACCCATTTACCACAATGTGTAAGTAACTTCCAGGTATAAATCACAGATACTCAATAGAGTTATAGATTCCAGATTTAACTTTTGGCCTCTATTTCCAGGCAGGCAAGGCTCTCTTTGTTAGCTCCTAATGTACTTTCTGGTGAGTTCTCCAGATCCCTTCCCCTTCCCCTTTCTCAGTTTCAGGATCAAAATGTCTCCCTCTGTAGCTCCACAACATAGCAAATTTGCTTTATTCTCCCTGGAATCTGAGTACAGAATGTCTTAGATTCCCCATAGGCAACGGATGTCTATCAAGTGCTATTATTTTTCTAAGGCTCCTGGGTAGATGGCAAACTTGCCCCCACTGTTAGTAATAAAGCAACAGAAAGTTGAATCAATCAATTAACAACCATTTATTGAGCACCTATTACATTAGGCACTGAATTGATTGGTTTAGAAGAACTGGTACCAACTATTTCCCTCAAAAGCCTGGAACACTCTCTTTCACAAATATACCCCATGTCCATGGGAAGAGTGGGCTCAGATTTGAATATAGTTATAGTGAGGCACACATGTAGCAGGTAGCAAAGGGTAACTCACAACTCCTAGTACTAAAAGTCCTCTCTCTCTTTGTTTTTATATAGCTTCTCTTGGCCGCTCAGCTGAGTGGCCAAGGGAAACACTCCCAGGGTCTGTCTAATTATTGAGTTCATAGCTTGCACTTCTCTCCACAATGAGGGGTCACACTCTCAAAAGCTGTATCTTCTCACATGACTGTCTTTCCACATCCTTGCCTGGCCTCAGTGTTTTTCTCTGCTTCAGGCTGGATGCATTGTTTCCTACAGGTCCAGTTACTCTTAGGACTCTTTCCTGAGCCCCTCCCACTCCAAAAGAACCATTTCTTCTCAGGAACCTAGCTCCTCTTCCATTTCCAACTCCAAGTCTCAAATTGGGAAAACACTGAAATTCCTCCAGCTATTTCAAGGTCTTAGAGGCTTGGCCGGGCTCTCTGCACAGTCATGAATTCTTGACATAATCAAAGAGGTTTTACACCGCATAAAGGGATTCAAGGGTCTAGGGGCATCTTGTTTACAGAATGTGTGACCACTATTAAACTTAATTTCACCTTAAAGTTAATTCTGGGCTTCCTGTGATTATGTTAATTGAGGCAGCAGGGTGGAACACAGGAGATAAATATATTTCCTAACCTTCTATTCTAATCAGAAAGCTTAAGAAAAGTATTTCATGGTTCTGCTTCGGGGAACCAAAATGGCAGAGTAAGAAGTAAGTTGCTCTTACCCTCCCTTATTGGCCTCTGAAAGCCCAGAAAATATTGACCCAGGGAAAACCCCAAGCCAGCAAAAAGACAGGGCACTA